TCTCGGGGGGGGGGGCAGCACCTTTGTGGGGCTGGAGGATGAGAGGCACTTCGTGGAAAGGGGGCTACGGACCCACCATCCCACAAGCCTGGGGCAACCTGAGTGTGGATCCGCACCAGATGTCCAGGATGAGGAGTGTGGCCACGATGGCATAGACCCCGTCGCTGAAGGCTTCCACCCGTTCCTTACTGAGGGGCTCCTGCAGGTCAAATGTGAAGAACTCCATGCTGTGAGCCGGGGGTTCCCGGGGGCCTGTGGACGTGGCAGGAAGAAGGAGCTGGCCAAGCCCTTGGGGCCGCCCTCTCCCCAGGGGGCCAGGTGCATGCAGGCCAGGGAGGGGACCTGCACTCAGCACCCACCCATGAGCCTGTCCCTGCACCAGCCGGCGGCCTTGCTGACGTGGGGGAGGAAGATGACGGTCGCCATCAGCAGGTATGACTGCACGAGACAGCACACATCAGATCCACTCCAGAGGGAGGGCGGCATGCAAACGGAGCACAGGTGAGTTATAGCTCGTCAAGGCGAACAGCTTGGCCTCCTTCCTGCCGCGTCCACAGGCCCCCAGGAGCCCCCGGCTCACAGCATGGAGTTCTTCATGTGTCATTAAAATAATCCTCAGGTGAAGGTTCACACACAAAAAAAGGAGGGATCCTCATGTGACATTACCAGACCCACTCACAACGGGGCAGGGAGGACTGCCACGGCCCTGAGCCCTGAGGATTCTCAGTTCCCCCACGGCAGAGACAGGATCGAGGCACAGCGCCCTCCCCCCGTACCCACCAGCCAGCTACTCTCCACACACCAGAAACAGGGCTGGCAAGGAGAGGACACGAGCCTTGTGCATGGAGAGCAGGAATGTAAAAAGGCACAGCCCCTCTGAGGAACGGTGTGTTTCCCCCCAAAAGTGCACACAACTACCTCACGACCCAGCAATCCCACTTCTNCGCACACTACCTCACGACCCAGCAATCCCACTTCTGAGTATTTACTCAGAAGTGGAAGTAGGCTCTTGGAAGTNTGCACACAACTACCTCACGACCCAGCAATCCCACTTCTGAGTATTTACTCAGAAGTGGAAGTAGGCTCTTGGAAGTGTCTGCGCACCGTGTTCCCAGCTGCCCGTCTGTGGATGAGGGATGGACAAGCACAGGTCCACCCACACCATGGGACGTTGTTGGGGAATGAAAGGCAAGGGGAGTCTGACACTTGCTGCAATGTGGTGAACCTTGAGGACAGCGAGCTGAGTGAGAAGCCGGGCTCCTGTGCGCCCTCCCCTCCCCCTCCCCTCTGCCGGGCCCCCACTCACCAGTGGGTAGAAGAACAGGGAGAAGCCTGCGGCTAAGAAGCACAGCGCTGGGCCCCGCAGGATGATCTGCAGGACATGCCGCCGGTACAGGCCACAGTGGGCGGAGCGCCCTATCCGGGGGTTCAGGAGGTGAGGGAAGCTGAATGCATACACCACGATCAGCGCCTGTGGGAGAGCAGGGCCTGGAAGGTCCAGTAGAGGCCGAGGGTGGGGGCCTCAGAGGGCAGGGCTCTGCTGTAAGGCTCATAGTGGGATATTCTAGGGGTGCAGAGGGGACAGGAGCCCCTGCTCTGGTGTGTGTGGGGGTCTCAGATGGCTCTGCTGGCCCTGCCGAGGACCCTTCACTCTCCATGTGGGAACTGGAGCCTCAGCCTCTGGATTCTCGGCTTCAGCCTACGGCAGGAGCCCCTGGGGAGGCTCTCACTGCAGCCACAGCCCACCCAGCACCCGGCTCCAGAGGACATTTGAGGGGTGGGGGGGCGCCTGGGCAGCCTACCTGCACAGCCCCAATGGCGATGACACACACACAGAACAAGAAGATGCCCAGAGGTACCTCGGGGAAGGTCACCATTAAGGAAAACTGCAGCGAAAAAAAACCCCAAAACCCACAAGAGCAGGTTCTGCAGGGCCCTGGGGTCCAGGCCCATGAGCCTCCTGTGTCTGGGCTGGGCTGGGCTGGGCTGTCTAGGGGATAGGTGGCCGGGCCCTGGGGGCGTCCCTTCCCAGACAGTAGGTCATCCAGTGCTTCACCCTTTAGAGCTGAAGCGTCATCACACTCCTAAGAAATCCCCCAGGCCCCGTTCTCTGAGGCACAGCCCCGCCTTCAGACCACTGTTCTCTGTCCAAGTTCAGGGAGTGGGGGCAGGTGCAAACAGGGGTGCTGTTAGACAAGGAGGTGTGTGGGGGCCACTTGCTGGGGATGAGCCTGGGATGGCCAGGAGCCTGAGGGCTCCAGGGCAGGTGGGAGCTGGGAGTACCAGTAAGCACGGAGGGGGGCTCATCAGCCCAGGCCTGCTAGGGCCCCTGGGAGCCTCTACTCCTCCACTCAGCCTGCAAACCCAGGTAACCCCTGCCCCTGGCAGGCACAGCTGCCGGCTCCCCCAAACCTCCTCTCCTCCTTGCCCTGCACCACCCTGCTGGTCTGAGGTTCTGAGGAGAGAGGATCCTGAGTTCTGAGTCTTCTAGCCCAGCAGGGGGCAGGCTGGATCCTGGGGTGGAGGGGAGGGGGCCCAGCGAGGCCTAGGAAAGGACCAGTACTCACTGTGAACGGCAGGAAGGTGATGGTCATCATGCAGGCCTGGGAAGCCGGAGGGCAGGGTGAGGAAGGGGAGGGGGAGGGATGGCAGCTTGTCCCTCCAGGCTGGTGTGTCCCCCACCTCCACCCCACCCCCTTGCCCATTGAGAAGAGGTCGGGCTCAGCTTCTCTGGGGCGCCCCTGGGAGGGCTGTGAGGAACTGGCAGAGAGGCTGAGAGCCTGCCCTCACTCCTTGGAGGGAGGGTCCACATGGTCATTTCCCCAAAGTGAGAGAAGACTCACCAGGTTGAGCAAGGCCAGGGTATCGTCTATTTTCCCAACCACCTGGAACAACCTGAACAATTGAGAGAAACAGGAAGAGATGTGCCATCAACCCCACCGTTCCAACAGCATCCAACACTCTCCATGTTTTCTGATTAAATCATCAGTGTGTCATTTTTAACCAAATTTAAACTACTCCTCAGTGTACAAAGGTTGGGAAACACTGAGAACCTGCCGAAGAGGGTACAAGCGCCCCAGAAACTACGTTGACATTTCCACGAGCTTCCTGACTCTCCTCACAGCTGCTTGAACAGAATCGGTGTGGAAACACAGGCGCACTTGGTAGCTCTGGGGGCCAATGTCCTCACAGCCCGGAGCAGGCTGCCCACGCAGGGCTGGGGCTGCTCCCCACAGCCACGCAGCCTGAGGGAGGCCCATGTGGGGCCACAGCGGGACACCACCTGGGGTCCCCTGGGGGCCTGTTCCAAGCTGTGAGGCCTCCACACTGGGTGCACACGAGATGGGAATCCTGAGAAGGACGAGCTCCAGCCTACAGTGGATTCGCTCTTCAGGCCTCAAGTCCAAAGACCACTTTTAAAAAGGGAAACCCTTGCCCCGGCCTGTGTGGCTCAGTTGGTTGGGCGGCGAAAGGCTGCTGGTTCGATTCCCGGTCAGGGCACAGACCCAGGTTGGGGCTTGATTCCCAGTCGGGGGCGTGCAGGAGGCAACCCATCCATGCTTTGCTCTCACATGGATGTTTCTCTCTCTTTTCCTCTCTCTCTCTAAAAATCAATAAAAAAATCTTTAAAGAGATGATAAAGATAATAAAAACAAAAATAAGGAAACCCTCTCAGGATGTCCCACACTACTCCTGCTGGAACAGCTTTCAGCAGGGATGTTTCTCGAGGCTCAGGGCGTAAGTGAAGAAACAGAAGCAGACCACATGCCACAGAGCTCACCAGCGTCCATTCAGCAGCTGGAAACAAAATCCCTTCCTGAGGCCCGCAGTCCTGTCCTTGTCCTGCTCCCAAGAGGTCTCCTTGAGGCTCTGACCCCTTTGAGGATGTGCCTTCTACTGGACTGTGCTCAGTGGCCACGGTCCTTCCACCTGGGTGGTCTGTGTCCAGCCAGGGACCAAGGGTGGCCTGGGGGCCAGTACTCAGGGCAAGCCCTGGGCGAGGACACGGCCCCAAGGGTCTGGGGCTGGGGGATCTGTGCTGGCCCCAGAGGCCAGACTCCAGCAGCAGGGTGTGGCTTCAGATGAACCAGCCCAGGACGAGTCAGAGGGGTCTGTGGCCACCCACACGGCCTCCTCTCTGTAACAAGGGAGGTGAGGGAGAAAGGCCGCCCCTAAGCCACCAGGCGCAGTCACTGCAGAAAACACCGTGACACTCTTCATGCAAGTGCCAAAGCCTGAAAGCCTCATATGAACATCCCCACCACCCGGTGCCCCACCCCACCCAGGCTCTCCCTGGGTGCAGCTCTGAGCCCTTCCCCTCAGGTCCTAAGGAAGCTTTTCTTCCGTACATGGGTCCCCACGTAGTCACAGGAGCAGAGGGCGTCGGCCCCAGCCCTCCCTGTGCGTCTCGAGACTGCTCCAGAAGACAGCGGGGTGCCCCGCCTGGACCTGCGAGCTCTCGCCCGTCACCGTCACCGTCCTCGGCCCTGCCACTGCCCTAACGTGCTGAGGACAAAGCTGAGGCCCGGAGCGAGAACGGGCGAGGGGTGGGCAAGGGAGCCCACCGCCCGATGCCTTTGGGGCTTAGCCCAGGCAGCGAGGGGCAGCTCCACGACCTGCGGGGGGATCTATCTGGTGGGGGCCGTGAGTGCAGCTGCTGCGACCACCCCTGCGGGTGGGAAGCCCACCCACCGGTACCTGGTGTGTGCTGCCCAGGCCACGGTCACGATGAGGAACGTCATCAGGTAGACGGCAATCCTGGTGGCTAGGAGTCTCTGTACACTTCTGTCAAACTGCTGGGATAGAGGGTGTCCCGTCAGGTGGCTGCCTCTGCGGCGCCTGCAGCCCTGGGGCCGGCTTTCCTGAGCACTGCTGGTGCCAGGCACTGGTCCACCGTGGGGGCAGCCCGGGCCCCGAGCACCGGCACTGGCCGCCTCGGTTCTGGGTGACGCTGCCCACGGCAGACTCCACCGCATCTCCAGTCAACTCTCGTCAGAACCCTGCGAGAGACTGTCGTCACCTTCCCACAGAGAAAGAGGCGAGCTAAGCAGCCCTCTGGCCCCCGGGCATCCAGGGCAGACCCCAGCCGTCCATGGGCATCCTCTCCCCGCTGCTGCAAGGACGCCTGGTCACAGGCGAGGAGGCACCCCAGGGTCTTCCCAATGTCTCTGAAATCAGGCTCAGCTCCTAACTGTGCTCCTCACTCAGAGATACCCGAGCTGGCTATTCACGGAGACTCTGTCGTAGAAAGAACACCGTTCCCCTTGGCCTCTGGTATGAAACCTCCGTGTCCTGTGCACTGCGCAGGCCGCCAGCGGCTTGGCCTTCGCTCCCTGAGCACCCACTGTGAGAGACCTGGTGCTTCCCTCCCAGCCTGTCCTCGAGGCTCAGGGGCCCACGTACCTGCTCAGGGGAGATCTCCGTGTGGGTCACAGGCAGGATCTGCCAACAAAGACACAAAAGGAACCGAGGGACGTTTCTTGGGTTGGGCACTGACTGCTCCTTGGAGGCCATGGTGTTGGGGACTTGCGCCAATACAGGGCTGCCCCCCCCCCGCCCCCTCCGGCTGCCTGAGGGGCAGCAGAGCCTGGGATGCTGCTGGGATGGGCCAGGCTCCACCAAGAGGCTGCCCAGGGCGGCAAGGCTGGGAGTGGCTCTGAGCTGGGTGGGCCCCACGGACCATGACGGTGGCGATTATGGACAGCAGAGCATCGCTGAAGTTGAGCATGCGGTGGGAGTGCTGGGTCGCAGCGGCGGTGTCCTCCTCCCTGGTGTCCGTGGGGGAGTCTCCCTGATCGTCAAGGGCTGGCTCTGGGGTCTGGGGCCCAGACATGGCGGGGCCTGTGAAGAGCACAGGTCTGAGTCTGCCAGGGGGCTCCTGGGGCCTGGCCTGCTGGCTTCTGCCGTGACCATGGCAGGTGTTGTCTCAGGTGTGTGGGAGGAAGCATCACGCAGGGTCTACACCCAAGCAGGGCCCAGCAACGAACATCACAAGCCCTCTAACAAAGCCAATTATTAAACCCCAAATGGACTGTTAGAAAGTGCTGGAGCCCGGCCGGCGTGGCTTGGAGGTTGAGTGTCAGCCTATGAACCAGGAGGTCAGGGTTCGAATCCCAGTCAGGGCACATGCCCAGGTTGCGGGCTCAGTCCCCAGTGGGGGTGTGCAGGAGGCAGCCGATAAATGACTCTCATCATTGATGTTTCTCTTTCTCCCTTCCTCTATCTTTAATCAATAAAAATATATTTTTTAAAAAATTAAAAAAAAAATAAAAGTGCTGTGGACTGATTGTCCCTGACAAGTCTTGTGCCGAAGCCCCAGCCCAGTGGGATGGGATGTGGAGGCAAATGGCGTCAGACGAGGTGCTGAGGGTGGATGTGAGCCCTGTGACAAGAGACCAGAGCATCCTCTCTCCGCCACCGTGTGGTGTGAGGACGGTGACAGGCTGCAGGCCAGGACGCGGCCTCGCGGAAGCTGCACTGACTGCCCCCGACCGCGGACGTCCAGCCTCAGGGCTGCGAGGTAAGCTCCTGTCTGTGGCTCTCTGCTCTGGTGGCCGAGTTGAGATAGGAGTGAAAATGATGAAACAGCCACATGACTAAAACTCAGAAACACGCACTGAGAGGTCACCAAGTTGCCTAATGATACAGCGTTGGACCGTTTATGTGAGTCCACACAAAATCTTCCCCCTTCCCTGTGATCACAACCCACAGCACGAGCACAGAGCATGGGAGAGCAGTGCCCACCACTCGGGCCACCCGGGGTGACCAGCAGGGAGGCCGGGAATGGGTCCTGGCCTTTGCCGCCTCTCCCACCCACGTCTCACCGTGTCCGCTCACTGCTGCACGGCTCTAAGAGTCCTGACAAGGGCACACAGGGTGTAACCCGTCACACCAGTCCCGTCCCCAAGCAGTCCGTGTGGTCAAGCCTTCCTCCACCCCAAAGCCCGGCCCCCACCTACGTTGTTCCCATCGCTCTGCCTTCCCCACACTGTCCCATAGGTGGGCTTGTACCCCATGGCGCCCCTTGGGTCTGGCTTCTTTCACTTGCAGTGATGCACCCGAGATTCACCGTGTTTCGTGACAAGCAGTGTTTTTCTCTGTGTAGTTACCAACGTGGCTGGACCTACACGCTCACCCACTCACCAGCTGTAAAATGCTGGCTGTGCCGCCTGAGGTTATGAATAAGCCACTGCAGGTGTCTGCACACCGCGCCCGCAGCAGCATCACTCACAGCCACTAAGGGTGGACGCCACCTGAGTGTCCATCTAAGGAGGGCGGGTAAGCGAACGTATCCATCCCCATAGCGGGGTGCTGTTCAGCCTGAGAGGAAGGAAACGCCGACACACAACACGGGTGAGCCTGAGGACACTAAGCTGAGTGAAGCAAGCAGTCGTGAAGGACGAGGACTGTGTGATTTCACTCCCACGGTGCCCAGTCCCACAGAGACAGAGCAGAGGGCGGGTGCTGGGCAGGCAGGGACGGCTATGGAGTCACTGTTTCATCGGGACACCATCTCAGTCCGCAAGGTGAAGGGTCCTGTGGGCGGTGGTGATGGCTCACAACCATGTGAATGTGCCTCATATCACCAAACTGCATGCTTAAGTTGGTTAAAATGGTTAAATTTTGTTGTGTGTATTTTAGGATTAAAATAGTCCTAGTGCCTAACACACAAGTGTTCAAAACATGTCAGCTACGTTACCTTCATCATACACAAGCTTTTTAAAAAAAATTTAAAATATATATATAGATAGATTTTAGAGAGGGAGAGAAACATCAATCAAACCCACAACCCAGGCATGTGCCCTGACCCAGAATTGAACTGGAGACCTCTTGGTTCATGATGCTCAACCACTGAGCCACACAGGCCGGGCATCACACACAAGCTTTAAGGGTGGCAGTGATGAAAGAACACAGGGCTGACACAGAAGAGCATGCAGTTGAGGAAGTTAAAGATGGAAGAGACGGAAGAATTTTAATCCTGGTGGAAATAAGCAGCTGCAAGTTCATATAATGGAGGAGTAACTGAAGACTTGAGCAGGGGGGCATTATGTGCTGTGCCAGGTGCCAGAGGCAGAGGGAACAGGACAATGACCCACAGTGATGGAGACACACTGCGGTGCTGTGGGAGATTTCCTGCATGGACTGAGCCTGGGGAGGCTCACAGAGGGGATGCCCAAGCTGAGTCACCAGAACAGTGAGTGGCACTTACTGAGCGCACACTGAGGACCAAGCATTGTTGCAAGCACTTTATACATAGTATCTCTTTTAATCCTGGAACAATGCCGCGCGGTGCCTGGAGCAGGGAGAGCCTGGTGAAGCTGGAGCAGGAGCTCTAACTGGTACCTGCACCCGAGCTAGACTGACTCACAGAGCGTCGTGTGCCAGGTGAGAAGTTTGGAAATTACTGCGAAGACTATGCAGAGGTTATGCATATAGTTTACATATATTTATATATTCCAGATACAAATCCATTATCAGGTATGTGGTTTGCAAATATTCTCTCCCAGTTTGGGCTGTCTTCCATTCTCTCAACAGTATATGCACATTTTAAATTAATAAGACTATTTTCGAGTTTTAGGTTTGCAGAAAGCAGTTCCATGTGTACTTGACCACTCCCCTTCCAGCTTCCCCTCTGACATCTTGCACTAGTGTGGCACCGAGCCCAACTGGTGAGCCAACACTGATACATGGTAGCAACTTCGCCCACAGTTTACACAGGGCTCACTCTGTGGTAGCTCTATGGGTTTTGAAAAATGCGTGGCTTGTATGCACTGGTGCAGCATCACACAGAAGTTTCACAGCCCTAAAATTCCCGTGCTCCCTCCTCCCCTCCCTCTCAAACCCCCAGCCACCACCTTACTCTGTCTCCACAGGTTTGCCTTTTCCATCATGGAGCTGGAAGCACAGTGTGCAGCCTTTTAAGAATGACTTGTTTTGCTAGCAACATGCATTTAAGGTTTCTCCATGCCTTTTTGTGGCTTGAGAGCTCATTTCCTTTATTATTGAACAATATCCCATTTTAAAGATGTACCAGTTTATCCATTCACCTATCAAAGGACACCTTCAACAATGTGTTTCAAAGTTCTTAATTTTGATGAAGTCCAGTTTGTTTCTTTTATGGAATGAGCTTCGGTGTCATATCAAAAAATCTCAGTTTCTGTCCTGGCTGGTGTTTCCCACTGGTTAGTGTCAGCCCACATACCGAAGGGTCTTGGGTTTGATTTAGCGTGAAGGGCACGTACCTGGGTTGCAGGTTCAATCCCCAGCCCAGGTTGGGGTGCGTGCAGGGGGCAACCAATCAATGTGCCTCTCTCACATAGACGTTTCTCTCTCCCCACCTCCCTTCCTTCCACTCTCTCTAATAATAGAAAAAATATCCTCAGGTGAAGGTTAACAAAAAAAATCTCAGGTTCTGTTCTAATTTTATGGCTTAAAAGGCTTCACATTTAAATGTATGATATATTTTGAGTTAATTTTTGCACATGATGGAAGGTACGGATTCATCTTTAACACACGGACATCTAATTCTCCCAGCATTGTTTGTTGAAAAGACTGTTTTTTCTCCTATTACCATTATCCTTTTGTCAAAAATAAACTGACCACATACATACTCGTGGGCCAATTCCTAACTCTTTATTCTGTTCCATTGACCTACTCAGCTACCTTTCTATGAACACCACACAGTTTTTATTACCGTGGCTTGGTAAGAAGTTGTACCCACTTGTCCTCAGTCAAGCTACTACAGAGGTACAGGTCTGGGGATGAATCTGGGGATGAAGACCACAAATTCGGTTTTGGGCATGTACACAGGAGGTAAGATCTAAGAAAAAGTGTCTAAAATTGAGGAGAAGTGTGGTCTGGAGATACCTAAGACTGTTACTGTAGCATGCAGGGCTGTGCCAGGATATAAAGGTGCTCCATAAACATTTACCGAGTAAAAAGTAACCACACTCCTTAGAACTCCCCACCTGGCCCTAGGCCAGGGGAGGATGAGCGAATGGCCTCCAAATTCAAACAAGCCGTCCGACACTACCATGCCTTCTGGCTGAGGTAATCACGAGGTTGCCCACGGAACCATCAGCGATCTTCTCCACGCTGCTTAATTCTGAGCTTTCTCGACTCCTCATTTTCAAAAACGCTGTCTTTTCCTTACTCACAGTGAGAAGAGGAGCAGTCGGAGAATTTTAACTCCCAGTCCAGTAAATACATGCAGTTACCTGCACCTGCAATGCCTCTCCTTTCCTCCTTCTGCAACGGAAAGTGTTTTCCTCCGTTCAAAGTGAAGACGCCTGCCCTGTGCTCTGGATGCCATTCTCTCCCCTTTCTAGAGGTCCCTGCTTCACTATTCCTCCCTCCTGACACCCTTCCAACAGCTCTGGCCACTCAGAAGTCCTCGCTCACGTCTAGGGCCCCACTCCAGCTTCCATCTCCACCCCCACCCCCGCATTTCTTATTCCTCCACTTGCCTGCAGCTCCCACCTCACTGCTGCAAAGAAACTGTTCTGGGCGAGGTCATCAACCATCTCATTGTTGCTAAATCCATCATCCATTTTACCCCTTTTTCTATCTGACTATTAGGTAACATTGGACGCTACCTTTTTGCCCCTTTGAAACATCCTTTCCTTAGCTCCATGACACACGCTGCCTTGATTTCCTCCTGCTGGTCCATTCCCTGTAGGTTCTAACCCTTCCTCACTAAGTATGTCCTCGCACACACACTGCCATCTGCATGCTGAGGACATCCCATGGCCAGCTGTCCCCTTTCCTGAGCCCCAAGCACCTGTATTCTACTTGTCAGACAAACACACCGGCTGGGGAAGCCATGTGATTTGTGTGCAATTCTACAGCAACGAGCTGTATCACTCGTTGACCTTGGCCAAGTAATGACATTGTTGAGTATGTTTTCTCTTCAAAAAAAAGCAGGGGTTAACCAGACTGCCTTCTCCAAGCCAACCTAGGATCGTCAAAATGAACCACCGCGTAGAAGGATGTGTGAGCAGCAAAGCGCAGGACAAACTAGGCTACTGTTACTATAAAGATGGTAACAAAGTAGCCTGCCTGGGAAGAGAGCTCCTGCAGCTCGCCGTTGCGGAAGGACTGGGCTTTCGCGTGCACTTTTCAGTTTAAGACCGAATTCTCTGCGGAAGGGGCTGCAGCCTCAAATGCCTACTGAACCCGCCGGGCACAAAAACGAACCAACGGGTCGGGTGAAAGCCGTCTGCCCGGAGGAGCAGCTCTAGGTGATCGCTGACACACGGGGTCCTGGGTCTGATTTTCCTACAGAAGCTGGGACACTGGGTTTTAAAATGTAAGTTTTCCAGCCTTTAGTAACAACCGACTCTTAAAAAACAAACCCACTTACGTGGCCCCCACCAAACCCGAGAAGCCAGGGCCGTCCACGGTGCTACCAGTCTCACTTACTAAATGGCGCAGGGGGTTTCGGTCGCTGCGAAGCTAAAGCTCCCCCAGGCGGTCACCCGCCCCTCCCG